CGTGGTTCTCCGACCCTCCACCATTAGTGCCATCTAGGTTCCGGAGGACGAGAAGACTTGGAGGGTGATCTTCGGGTGCGGTCGGAAGATCACCACCTGAAAGTTCAAGCTTTCTTCGGAGAGAAGGGTGGTATGACGCCTACATGGCGCATAAATAATAATAACCTATACATAAGGACACGAAGGCAGTAGAATTTGAACTTAAATGCACGGGCGCGCCTTAGCCACGACAAACGGGCACACTGCCGTGGCAAAACTAAGGGCCTCACCGTGATCAGGTAAGATCAGCTTACGCGAGGTGTAAACTTCTGGCGACAGCGATAGACACTTTTTGGCCGGCCTAGTGCTGGATCTTACAAATTTCCCTCGGTCCTACCGAGACGACATCTCCTATCGGCACCAGCCGATGATACTTCTCTTGTAGCGGGTCTCCGGATCTCTACACACATCATCCCTTCCCCTACAGGAGCAGATCCACACCGCGGAGGAGAGCATCGTCATCCCAAGCTTAAATTCTGTAACCTTTACTTGCCATAATACTTATTCGTTCTGCTGACTAAAGTAACCTGCGTCATACTCTGTGATCGGGGTGGCCTTCCTCCCAGAAACCACACCTGAACCAAACAAAAATTGGAACGAACTACTTGCCCTCTCAAAGTAGGACCGTTACAACTTGCTTATGTAGAAACGTAGAGACAAGTATGGCTAGACCAACTCGCCTGATCTACTATACTCAACAGCATCGGAAATTTATTATTCACTCATTGCAAACTTCTGACTGAGATTGTAATAAACTCTTCAGGATGTTATGATGATTGCTCACTATGAATGCATTTAAAAAAATAATTTATAGTTTTTAAAAAATTAAAAAAACTTTTGACTGTCGATATTAGCTTACCGTAGCCTATAATGTACTTACCGCAACTGCCCTCAGCAATTATATATTATTTGCTCACATTTAAATATTACTGCTTTACTGCAAAAATAGCTGTAAAATTCTTTTGTTTCCTCTTATTTTTTGTAAGATCAATAACCCCTGGTAAAAAAAATTTATATTTTTTTTTTTTAATTCTTTAATGTCTTTTATCTAATAGCTGGACAGAAAACTTACTGGCATCTAACTGCAAAATAAAAACGATATATTTCATTTGAGTACCTTTAAATACAAATTTAAAAAGAAATTACGATTTGTCCTCTTGTCCTATCTCTTCCATATATCTTATTATATATTATTCTTATTTTATAATTTTTATGTTTTTCCCACTGTTAGAAAATTGTACAAAACTAAGAGTTTTGCTGTGGAAGCTTGTTAAATTTTGATGTTTATTTCCTATACGAACAGTTCATCAAATCTATTTTCTTTAAAGACAGTAGCTTAATTTACTTTATTTGTTTTCCGGTTTTATATTTTTCATAATTATTATCATAAATGTTAAATGGCTGCTACCCGATCTCGAAACACAGTGTTCATCATAATGAAATAACCTTTTATTGTTGGTTATTGGGATTCATTTGTCCATTGACGATAGGTAAAAATATGGATGAGCCATAGCTTCGCGAGCTGTTAGTCGATCAACGTGATCATAACGTAAAAGTTTATCAAGAAAATCGAGTGCTTCAGGAGAAACTAAGTGTTGGCTATCAGAATGAACAAATCTCCCATCGTTTTCGAGAGTGGCGTTGTAGAATGTCATGAAATCGTGGATCTAGGTCAATATTATATTTATCTAAATAAGCATACAGCTCTTCGGTGCCCAGCACCTTAGCAATGCGAACCAATTGATCATAGTTGTCATGACCATGGAAAAAGGGCTCTTTTCGAAATATCATCGATGCCAGCATACAACCTAGTGACCACATATCGAGTGAATAATCATTCATCTGGTAATCGACCAGTAATTCTGGACCTTTAAAGTATCTCGATGCCACACGAACATTATACTCCTGACCGGGATGATAAAATTCGGCAAGCCCCCAATCTATAAGGCGCAATTTTCGATTTTCATGATCGATCATTACATTATGGGGCTTAACATCACGATGCATTCTTCCCATACTGTGGCAGTAGTCAAGTGCCTTAAGGAGTTCAAACAGATAGTACCGAATCTCATAATCAGTTAGTGTTTGGTAAAGTTGCTTAAAATCCGTGTTATTAACGTGTTCGAAAATCAACGCCGGGGTACGGGATACTGGATCCTTTACAACTGCTAACAGTGTAATTATATTTGTTCCACCACGCAAGTTTTCCAAAATTTTGATTTCGCGCTTGATTTTCTTCTTTTTAACAGGTTTTAAAATTTTAACAACACACTTCTCTGTTGTTGTAATATTAATAGCTTCAAACACCTCAGAATACATTCCACGTCCTAATTTACGGACCAATTGATAATCGTCTTGGTTTCCCCAATCTACTACATAGTTTTCGTAGTCCCAATATTCATCCGGCTTGTGTGCATTTACATCTGTGTAGACACGAGCCGCACTTGGAAGTGTCATTTCTTTGAATGATTCGTCCTGATTTTCTGCTTCAAGACTCGGTTCGGACTGTATCAGTAATCCCACGCTCGAATCGATAAATTCTTAAAGAGGATGGTGTTAGCTACGGTGCGACAGGCGATAGCGGACGCATTCTTGAGGATGTTCCGGGAAAGAGTTATAGCAAGGGTCGGAGCACCGAAGGTCCTGATATCCCATAATGGAGTCCAATTCACAGGGAAGACGATGACAGCCATGGATCTCTGGGGAATACGGCAACAGTTTAACGCACCATACACACCGCAACAGAACCCTAATGACCGCACTAACTAAACGGTAATAACCATGATAGCGGAGCTGGCAGGAGAAGATCAGACCAAATGGGACAAGGATCTGCCGGAGTTGATGCTGGCATATAACACTTAGGTGCCACCCGAGGGAAGGAGGAGAATCGGGCCGAGACAGTGTCACGAAACACCTCCCAAAGAGATAATCAAGAAGTGCAGAAACGCGAGGAGCCCTCGACACCACCGACACGATCCCTGGAGCGCACTGTAGGAGGTTGCAATGCAATCACTTTAGATTAAGTTCTTTATAATGCCATGTGGTGAAGTTGCAATGCAATCACTTTAGATAAGTTCTTCATTATTCAAACACATTGATTTAGTATTGTGATCTTTATTATCTGGAGCAACATGTACTTGTCGCTCTAATTGTTGGACAATATATTTTTTGTACAAAATCATTAAGCCTATGCTTAGGCTAAGCCGCGTAGCTGCGCTGCCGGTAAAGCCAGCAGCGGAGCGGCTGCATTATGTATACATATATATATGTTGTTATATATTGGCGGAAGGAATGTGTTATGCGCTCTCTTTGGTTTGAATGTAAAAACGCGACGGCCAGCGAGGAAACGCGTGGTCAGCACTTTAAGTCCATAGCGCATATATGTGATCATGTTACACATGCACTTGAATTGGGATGTTTACAATAACATTGCAACAAAGTGTCACAGTGTATTCATACATATAAATTATGTATGCCTTGGTGCTGTATATAAGTACAGTAGAGATTCGATAAGTGCGCATAGTACCCCGACAGGGATGTCTTACAGTGCAGCGTTACGGAGTGTCATTTTGGGGAGGTCGCGGACCCACCCCAGGACGAGGGACGATGCCGGCGGACGTGGTTCTCCGACCCTCCACCATTAGTGCCATCTAGGAACGATGGGATAAGAAGCGTTTTAGACAGCGGAAGAGCATCCTGGTTCCGGAGGACGAGAAGACTTGGAGGGTGATCTTCGGGCGCGGTCGGAAGATCACCACCTGAAAGTTCAAGCTTTCTTCGGAGAGAAGGGTGGTATGACGCCTACATGGCGCATAAATAATAATAAGCTATACATAAGGACAACGAAGGCAGTAGAATTTGAACTTAAATTCACGGGCGCGCCTTAACCACGACAAACGGGCACACTGCCGTGGCAAAACTAAGGGCCCCACCGTGATCAGGTAAGATCAGCTTACGCGAGGTGTAAACTTCTGGCGACAGCGATAGACACTTTTTGGCCGGCCTAGTGCTGGATCTTACAAATTTCCCTCGGTCCCACCGAGACGACATCTCCCATCGGCATCAGCCGATGATACTTCTCTTGTAGCGGGTCTCCGGATCTCTACACACATCATCCCTCACCTTCCCCTACAGGAGCAGATCCACACCGCGGAGGAGAGCATCGTCATCCCAAGCTTAAATTCTGTAACCTTTACTTGCCATAAAACTTATTCGTTCTGCTGACTAAAGTAACCTGCGTCATACTCTGGGATCGGGGTGGCCTTCCTCCCAGAAACCACACCTGAACCAAACAAAAATTGGAACGAACTACTTGCCCTCTCAAAGTAGGACCGTTACAACTTGCTTATGTAGAAACGTAGAGACAAGTATGGCTAGACCAACTCGCCTGATCTACTATACTCAACAGCATCGGAAATTTATTATTCACTCATTGCAAACTTCTGACTGAGATTGTAATAAACTCTTCAGGATGTTATGATGATTGCTCACTATGAATGCATTTAAAAAAATAATTTATAGTTTTTAAAAAATTAAAAAAACTTTTGACTGCCGATATTAGCTTACCGTTGCCTATAATTTACTTACCGCAACTGCCCTCAGCAATTATATATTATTTGCTCACATTTACTATACATTTGCTTTACTGCAAAAATAGCTGTAAAATTCTTTTGTTTCCTCTTATTTTTTGTAAGATCGATAACCCCTGGTAAAAAAAATTTATATTTTTTTTAAATAAATTCTTTAATGCCTTTTATCTAATAGCTGGACAGAACACTTACTGGCATCTAACTGCAAAATAAAAACGATATATTTCATTTGAGTACCTTTAAATACAAATTTAAAAAGAAATTACGATTTGTCCTCTTGTCCTATCTCTTCCATATATCATATTATATATTATTCTTATTTTATAATTTTTATGTTTTTCCCACTGTTAGAAAATTGTACAAAACTAAGAGTTTTGCTGTGGAAGCTTGTTAAATTTTGATGTTTATTTCCTATACGAACAGTTCATCAAATCTATTTTCTTTAAAGACAGTAGCTTAATTTACTTTATTTGTTTTCCGATTTTATATTTTTCATAATTATTATCATAAATGTTAAATGGCTGCGATCCCGATCTCGAAACACAGTGTTCATCATAATGAAATAACCTTTTATTGTTGGTTATTGGGATTCATTTGTCCATTGACGATAGGTAAAAAATATGGATGAGCCATAGCTTCGCGAGCTGTTAGTCGATCAACGTGATCATAACGTAAAAGTTTATCAAGAAAATCGAGTGCTTCAGGAGAAACTAAGTGTTGGTTATCAGAATGAACAAATCTTTCCCATCGTTTTCGTGAGTGGCGTTGTAGAATGTCATGAAATCGTGGATCTAGGTCAATATTATATTTATCTAAATAAGCATACAGCTCTTCGGTGCCCAGCACCTTAGCAATGCGAACCAATTGATCATAGTTGTCATGACCATGGAAAAAGGGCTCTTTTCGAAATATCATCGATGCCAACATACAACCTAGTGACCACATATCGAGTGAATAATCATACATCTGGTAATCGACCAGTAATTCTGGACCTTTAAAGTATCTCGATGCCACACGAACATTATACTCCTGACCGGGATGATAAAATTCGGCAAGCCCCCAATCTATAAGGCGCAATTTTCGATTTTCATGATCGATCATTACATTATGGGGCTTAACATCACGATGCATTATTCCCATACTGTGGCAGTAGTCAAGTGCCTTAAGGAGTTCAAACAGATAGTACCGAATCTCATAATCAGTTAGTGTTTGGTAAAGTTGCTTGAAATCCGTGTTATTGACGTGTTCGAAAATCAACGCCGGGGTACGGGATACTGGATCCTTTACAACTGCTAACAGTGTAATTATATTTGTTCCACCACGCAAGTTTTCCAAAATTTTGATTTCGCGCTTGATTTTCTTCTTTTTAACAGGTTTTAAAATTTTAACAACACACTTCTCTGTTGTTGTAATATTAATAGCCTCAAACACCTCAGAATACTTTCCACGTCCTAATTTACGGACCAATTGATAATCGTCTTGGTTTCCCCAATCTACTACATAGTTTTCGTAGTCCCAATATTCATCCGGCTTGTGTGCATTTACATCTGTGTAGACACGAGCCGCACTTGGAAGTGTCATTTCTTTGAATGATTCGTCCTGATTTTCTGCTTGAAGGCTCGGTTCGGACTGTATCAGTAAGTTTTTGTGAAATGATTCTTTCAATCGAATAATATTAGTATGAAATAGTCTGAAAGTAAAGAAAGAATTAATTATGTTACTACTAGAAGAATAATAAGATTCGTGTGGATAGGTTTTTGTTGTTGTCAATTACAGTGTAAATAGCACATTACTACTTATTTTCAACTAAAATCAAAATATTTTTTTTATATTAAAAGAGCATAAACAGGTAGCAGGCGTTTCAGCCCTATAAAGTATAAACATTCTTAATCAGTTTTAATATCCCGTATGAACGCTGAGATCTCAGAAACTATAAGAGCTAAATATTTGGCAAGCATCTCAAGCAGTGACGTCTCCGTTATTTTATAATGAAAATAAAATAATTTTTACACGCTTTTAATGCCGACGAAGCTGCAAAGGCTTTAGAACAAGAACTGTCGAAAAATTTGTCCTCATATCCTCATACGCCTTCAACACCACACAATCTTCCAAAGCGAACAAGGCTTGAATTTCTACAAAGCAAAATTGCATCCAAGACAAGCTCCAACAGAGCAGATGTATAATTTTGTTGAGGCAATATTTGCTTAAATCAAATGCCGACGAGGATCTGATCGCATTTTTGGAAGTTATTTTGCAAATTTTGCAAGAATGCAAAAATTAATTATTTTCTTTTTTTTTAGAACACTGGCGAAGAAATTCGGAAATATATTATGAAAAAGCATATGTGCGTGCTTCTTGTGATTCTGAATGTATGTTCAGCAAAGCCTGACAACTAATTTCGGATCGAAAGTGCTCTCTAAAGCCTGCCGTAGTGGATAAGTTACTTTTTACCAACCGAAACATGGATCTCAAAATTAATTAATTCTTATTTAATATTAAAACTAGATATAAAACACGAATAAATTTTTATTTTCTTTAAAATTTACTTGATGTATCGATTAGTATCGATGTTTTCGCTCCAAACCATCGAAACTTTCGATGTTAGAAACATCGATGTTTCAAATCTTTGATGTTTTCAAACCTCTAGCAGCACACGAAAAATATATTTTGCTCTGCTCTCATCTCGCTCTCAATTTTCATTACGCAAAACACAGAATATTCTTTTCTGCTATTTCTATAGATACACGTTACTGTTTTATATAATCTTTAAATATTCATTCTGCTGTGGAAATTCACAAATAACTTCCTTATGTCAGAAAAAGTATATTGAGTAACTGATGGTGAACTCACTGCCCACTGCCTTATAACCTATATCTAGATATACAGTGATGGAAAAAATAATAGAAACGAATTTTCTCTTTGGGGTTAAATACGTATTTTTAATAAGGAACGTGTTGATGAGTGGATATTTAAATTTTTTTTTATTTTTATACATCAGATACATACTAGAAAACAAAAATGCATTTAACTTTATTCATTCACAATAAACTAAAACTCCCAGATCTCAGGAAATATTAGAGCTAGAAAATTAAAAATAAGTATGTATGTACATTATCCGGCGACTGCAACTCGTTTTTATGATGCCGCAAATGGGAATTGTCTTTTTTCCTTCTAACCACAAAACCCGGAAAAAATGTAAAAAATCGCGAGAACTATAAGATATATATAGAAAATTTTAAGAGAAAACACTGCAACTCGACACGAGCTTTCATATGCCCACGCCCACTCTACGCCCACAATCTGTGGCGTCCATAATATTATAGTGAATGTCTTCGTTTGACCTTGTATAACATATTATTGTTAGTATCTATCAATTTACCAAAGATTTTTTAAATCGGAACATTATTTCGCTCTTTATGAAGAAATATAGTTTGTAGGGCCTCACATGGACAGTGACGTCACTATCAGTTACTCCACATGCTTTCTCTGACAGTAGGTGGCGCTTTGTGAATCTCATAGTCGCGGCACTCGACTATAGCGTTTCCTTTTTTAAACCTTTTGTGGCTGCTTCTGACACAAGGCTTTGTCCGCCCGGGAACAGGCCCACATTATAAAAATGGTGAGGGTGGACCCAAAAATTTCTTCAACTCAGATCGAAGCCATTTTATAATGTGGGCCTGTTGGTCAAAGCCTTGGGTCGTCCGGTGTGTTTTGCTCTTTCCAAAGCAGAAGCTCCCTTAAACGGCTTATGATGTGCGTATGTGGGTCGCACATAACGTCCAACATACTCTGCCGCAGCCTCCTCAAACCCATTGAAGATTTGTGGGAAGAGCTGGACAGGCGCGTTAAAAAACGCGCGATAAAAACAAAGTCCGGGCTGAAGGTGGCTCTAATAGAAAAACGGGCAGAATATTGGGGCAGAAACAACCCAAAATTTCGTTTCTTCGATGCCAAGACGGTTGGAAGCCTTTATAAAACAAAATGGCTTACCCACAAAGTATTAATTTTAGTTATTTTCATTTATTTTTAAGTTTTTCAATAAGTGTGCCAATAATTTTGTTCAGGCAAATTCACCTCTTATTAATGTTATTTAATTTTTAAAAATCAACCATTGAAGGTAAAAAGTTGAAATAAATTTTGTCGTGTTATGTTTTATTTTTTGTTTATTTTGTTTTTTTGTTTATTTAAATATATACATTTTAAGGGGAGAAAACGTGCCTTAAAGTTCATGAAGCCTTCTGTGCCAATAATTTAGTTCGTCACTGTTTGTATGACACAAATTTAACTACAGTTCTACTTTGCATACAAAAACAACACGGCTGTCCATTGAGTAAAAAAAATAGATAAAAGCGAGTATGAAATTATCAACACAACAAATAAAACAAAACCGTTACATCTTAGAGTTAAAAAACACATACGTAAGTATTTTAATCATATAATATACATTCCATATTAATATGCAAAAATATTACATGGTTGGTATATACATACATATACATATGTATACCGTATGAAAATGTCAAAACGTACCCAAATTTTAAAGACTGTTCATAAATATTATGTGGCTTTACAAAAGCTTTTGCAAGATATTGGCGTCCCGTAAAGTATTCCATGGAAAATCGACTCTGAATGCCGGTCACATTCCTAATATTTTTGCACTAATTTATATAATACGTAATAATACTGATGTACATAAATAGGTTTTAAGTGTTTTGTTTCATATATATACAAAGACTTTAATGTCCTAGTATCGTGTTCATTAATTACAACAAAAAAAACTAGCATCCAAATATGTATATTCTTATGTAGATATACACACATGTCTGCATATTAGTATTCAATTTTAAATGTATTTCCAGACTAAAGAGCACTTTACAAGAAAAAAGTAAATTAGCCGTATTGAATGCACGCACCAAAAATATCATGATTATTATCTTATTAAACTTAAGTGACTAATTCACAAACTGTGGCTTTATTAAAAAAGGAATGTTTTTATATTCTTTTTTATATAGGTTATAGTTTTTCACATATAAAAGTACTGATTCACGAAGACAACTGATTTTCCGAATGCTGTAGCAGGCCACAGAGCGGGGGCCGTATTTCAGAAAACTTAAGTAAGGGCGTGCAATAACAATGTTACTTACCGCTTAAGAAAGGACAACGTGCGTGATTAGGGTAAGAATTTTTTTTACATTTGTAGAAAGTTAACTTAGCCGCTGTCTGTTATAGAATTTTTACTGCATAACACACAAAGTAGTCAAGATACATAAACAAATAATCGACAAACCTGAAACGATGGAAACGGCACAGAATGATAGATAACCTAAGTCCAATTAATATTATAGTACCTTAAATGATAAAATCCCTGTATAATTGGTAGGTATTAGAAAATTTGGAAGCTGACAGTATCCATACGAACCACCCACGGCTATCATTCAAACTTAAGGCCATAAAAGCTCTGTCTGATCCCAAACGGAAGCTTTTACATATTACATTAGCCACTCTATTGGCAAACATACTTATGTACATATATATACATTAATAAAAAATTAACCTCTTTCTCCGGTCAAGTTGCCATTTATTGTACGCTTCTTGGACTACTGTTGTTCGGATCAGCAATGTTTTGTGGAAACTTTACTAAATATTTAATTCACAATGACTGCTTTATTGACGCGTTCTCCAGATCATCAACCATTATTTTGATTTTATTCACTATTTAGCTTATGGCTTTTGTTCATATTGCAAAATTATTGAGTTGGAGAATATACGATCTTAAAATAATTTTTCCCTGACGCAAATCTAACGCGTATACCTTTCATGTATAGGACAAATATATATACATGTCGGATCTTAAATTATGATGGTCAGTGTAAAAGAATGTGCCAAGTGACAATTCTCGTCTCTGCACTCTAACGGTTGTTCGTTAGTACGCTTTGTTCCATCTATTCGCCAGATGGTCAGGTTAGTTCGATGCGAATATGAGAGAGAGATGTTGCGTGAGGATAGAGGTTTGAGAGAGAGATACGCACTATGATTGTTGTGCGGGTATGCTTGAACCACTGCGAGAGACAGAGATACAAGTATATTCGTTGCAGCATTTTCTGGAATGCATTTTCGGTATGGTAGAATGCTGGCGAAGACTCTCAAGTTGGCAGTAGTGTGATCAAGTCTATTCGGCATAAGCAATCTGCGTTTTTTGAATATGGAAAACCCTTACCCTAATCTAACATACATATATAAATAAAATTATATTTATATTTTTTCAATCTTAACATTATTAAGTAAAATAATTTTTTTATTTATTAAGGTGAAGTTCCAAAAATGTGTTGGTTTTAAAAATAGTTAAGGTTAACTACTAACTGTTATGGTTATGATTGGATCTGTATTGACACAACGTTTATATTAGTTTGGCAACTCGGTTTTTCCAATCAATGACACCTATGAGAGAGGGAAGAAAACTTTCGAAATTTCGCTTTGTGAAACAGATTTTAAGTAGTGTTTCTGAATCATTTCAATATCGTGTATACCTTTCAACGAAAAAAATTGAAGAATTAACGCAATGACTAAAAGACTATAAAGTAATTTAGACTATAAAGTATTTAATCCAGGA